CCGCCATGCATCACCAAGCCCGGCCCCTGGAGGTTGTGTTGTGGAGTGGTGCCAGAGTTTGAACTGAAATATACATTGGTTGCAAGTGCACTGTTGTGAATGTTGTGCATTTCCTGCTTCCCCAGGTCAGGAAGTCTTGCAAAAGCAAGGCATGGTTGGTGGAAGCCTCAAAATTGGCCTCTTGTGCCTTGTGAAGCTTCACAGATTTTGAATGCCAGTGATGCCAGTGATGCCAGTGATGTCACTTTCCAATCTGAGCCCCGGGTGTTTTCCCACACGTTTGTCATTCGCCTTGACCGGCATTGCATCGGCAGTTGGAACTCAGGGTGGCAAAGGCTTGGACCTTAAGGGGGCTAAGGCTGGAACTGCAAAGCTGCAACTGTCTGCAACTGGCTGCACCCATCAAAACGCCGGAACCAGTTTTCATCAGTTTTCCGTATTTTTCTTTTACTTGTCGACTTGTTGGTGTCGGATCTCGGGCCTCGGGCATGGCGGGAAATTGGTCAATGGCAGAGCACTTGAAATTCGAAGGTTTTCAGTCTGCCGGCAGGGCCAGCAGAGTCCAGTAAACCCGGACAGGCTTTGCGGAACCTCCATGTGCAATCTGCACAAGCGGAGAGGCGAAAAGACTGGGCAACTTGAAGTTGTTGATTTCATCACAGTTGGTGCAAAGTACCGAACTTGTTCAGTTCTTCAACCGTGACAGAAATGAACCGTTTTCAACCGTTGATGAGTTTGGTGTAGAGACTGGGTCCACCTTGGGAGGCATGCGCTTGAGTTGGCCTTGCTTCGAAAAGAGTTGGAGATTTGCCGCAGTGAGGCGGCTGCCCAGATCCAGGCGCCATGTTACCGTGTCCGACTTGTGACCCTGTTGCCAACTCCGTTTGGCTCAGGCACTCCGTGAAGAGCTCCGGAGTATGGGACTGGTGAAATTGGAGGCGCGAAACAGGGTTGAGCAAAAGAAATTGCGAAATTCCGTGTTCCTTGGAACCTCAGAACTAGACGACGGATGGCCCGAGAGCGTAGAGGAGCAGGGTCTTCTCTTGTTAGTATGGAGACACAATTTTAGAAACAATATATGAAAGATGTGTTATAGGCAGTCGAGAAGAGGAGTATCAAGACAAAATAGTGAGAAGTGCAAGACAATAGTTTGCATCGCAAACACTTTTACACACAGACGCTTTTACACACAAAAGCTTTTAGACACAGAAGCTTTTACACACAGAAGCTTTTACACAAACGCTTTTACACACAAAGCTTTTACCCACAGAAGCTTTTACATACAGAAGCTTTTACATACAGAAGCTTTTACACACAGACGCTTTTACACAGACACTTTTACACACAGACACGTTTACACACAGACACTTTTACACACAAACCCTTTTACACACAGACACTTTTACACACAAAAGCTTTTACACACAGACACTTCTACACAGATGCACTTCTACACACAAACACTTTTACACACAAACATCTTCACACAGAAACACTCTTACACACAAACCCTTTTACACAGAGACACTTTTACACAAAAGCTTTTACACACAAACACTTTTACACAGATGCACTTGTACACACAAACACTTTTACACACAAACATCTTTCCACCGAAACACTCCGACACACAAACACGTTTACACACAAACACTTTTACACACAGAAGCTTTTACACACAGACACTTCTACACAGATGCACTTCTACACACAAACACTTTTACACACAAACATCTTCACACAGAAACACTCTTACACACAAAAGCGTTTACACAGAGACACTTTTACACACAAAAGCGTTTACACACAAACACTTTTACACATATGCACTTGTGCACACAAACACTTTTACACACAAACATCATTCCACCGAAACACTCCGACACACAAACACGTTTACACACAAACACTTTTACACACAGAAGCTTTTACACACAAACACGTTTAAACAGATGCAATTTTACATACAATCACTTTTACACACAAACATCTTTACACAGAAACACTCGTACACACAAACCCGTTTACACAAAGATTTTTACACACAGAAGGTTTTACACACAACACTTTTACACAGATGCACTTGTACACACAAACACTTTTACACACAAAAATCTTTACACAGAAACGCTCGTACACACAAACCCCTTTTCCTGCGAAAGGATTACTACAGCACACGATAAATCGCAATTGTACCTCAGTTTTTGCCGATCGACCTTCATTTCGTGCGAAAGGGTTGCTCCAGCACACGAAAAATCACAATTTTACCTCAGTTTTTGCCGATCGACCTTCATTTCGTGCGAAAGGGTTGCTCCAGCACACGAAAAATCGCAATTTTACCTCAGTTTTTGCCGATCGACCCTCATTTCGTGCGAAAGGGTTGCTCCAGGACAAGTAAAATCGCAATTTTACCTCAGTTTTTGACGATCGACCATCATTTCGTGTGAAAGGGTTGCTCCAGGACAAGTAAAATCGCAATTTTTCCTCAGTTTTTGCCGATCGACCATCATTTCGTGCGAAAGCGTTGCTCCAGGACAAGTAAAATCGCAATTTTACCTCAGTTTTTGCCGATCGACCCTCATTTCGTGCGAAAGCGTTGCTCCGGCACAAGTAGAATCGCAATTTTCTTCAGTTTTTGACGATCGACCATCATTTCGTGCGAAAGGGTTGCTCCGGGGCAAGTAAAATCGCAATTTTTCCTCAGTTTTTAACGATCGACCATCATTTCGTGCGAAAGGGTTGCTCCGGGGCAAGTCAAATCGCAATTTTTCCTCAGTTTTTGACGATCGACCATCATTTCGTGCGAAAGGGTTGCTCCGGGGCAAGTCAAATCGCAATTTTTCCTCAGTTTTTGACGATCGATCCTCATTTCGTGCGAAAGGGTTGACGTTTCGTGACTCACCGCCGGCACCACCCTCGGCCTAAAGAGAGAAAGATAAAGAAGGCGAGAGAGAGAAAAGGGAGAGAGAAAGGAGAGAAGATGTGAAGATGAGAAGATGTGAAGAGGAGCAGATGTGAAGATGAGCAGATGTGAAGATGAGCAGATGTGAAGATGAGAAGGTGTGAGAGAAGGTGTGAAGATGAGATGTGAAGAAGAGCAGATGTGAAGATGAGCAGATGTGAAGATGAGCAGATGAAGATGAGCAGATGTGAAGATGAGCAGATGTGAAGATGAGCAGATGTGAAGATGAGCAGATGTGAAGATGATAAGATGTGAAGATGAGCAGGTGTAAAGATGAGCAGATGAAGATGAGCAGATGTGAAGATGAGCAGATGTGAAGATGAACAGATGTGAAGATGAGAAGATGTGAAGATGAGCAGATGTGAAGATGAGCAGATGTGAAGATGAGAAGGTGTGAAGATGAGAAGGTGTGAAGATGAGAAGATGTGAAGATGAGCAGGTGTAAAGATGAGCAGATGTGAAGATGAGCAGATGTGAAGATGAGCAGATGTGAAGATGAGCAGATGTGAAGATGAGAAGGTGTGAAGATGAGAAGATGTGAAGATGAGCAGGTGTAAAGATGAGCAGATGAAGATGAGCAGATGTGAAGATGAGCAGATGTGAAGATGAGAAGGTGTGAGAGAAGGTGTGAAGATGAGATGTGAAGAAGAGCAGATGTGAAGATGAGAAGATGAGATACAGACCCCCACTATTGGAAGAACCCTGCGCTCAGACGCTCTCGGGAAAAAAGGCAAGATGCCAGAAACACACTGCTTTCACGGCAGCTGTGCGACAAGCATCATACCAAGTTTGGGCCAGACCCTCTTCTGTCAGGCTTCTTCGTTGAATTCTGCAAAAATCCATCGGTCTCGCAATCTTAGGGAGCAGAAAGACATGATTCCCAAACAGACATGTTTACTGTTTACCTGAGTCAAAGACATCTTTTTGCCACTCTTGATCTGCCATGGCCGTTGACAAAATAAGACTGCAAAAATGAGTCTTCTCTCAGGCAAACTCAAACATTGCCAAACGAACTTTGGATGTTCATTCTTGAAAGGAACCAGAAGAAACCATTGAGATGGCAGCAGAGGACAGACAGTTGCTTTTGCGTTTCACAGCACTACTGTGATGTCAACTTTGCTTAACACTGATTTGGAGATAGATGAATGGTAACGATGGCAACTTGCCTTTCATGAGGTCTGCTTGAACGTTTCATTTGCAGGTTCGGGGGGCTGTACAGGCTGAACACCAACAATGGCATTTCATGCCATCGGTTGGAACATGGTGGGCATCTCAGAGTTTTTATATGTTTTTATCCCATTCGGATCCGTTTGGATATATTTGGATCGGGGCCCATTTGGCTTCAAAGCTTGAAACAGGAGTCAGCATATATGTCTGCTTGATTCTGCTTGTCTGTGGTTCAGAGTTGATGGCTTCTTGATTGAGCTTGCCAAACTTTCAACAGATTCACTGTCACTGCGTTTGAAACTTAATCGGAACGAATGGGTGCTGGTCTAAGGATCCAACGACCAATTCAGCTTCAGATCCAGGACGCGCTGTGGTTTGGTCTGGCACTTTCGGGTTTTAGTAGAAAGACATGATTCCCAAAGAAAGATGTTTACGGAACCCCTTCACATGTCTCTGACTTTGCTGATTTGTTATGGAAGACTGGGTTTGCTCAAAGGAGATATCGCGCATTGTCAAACGAGCTTTGCTTTCCATTCTTGAAATGAGCCACCTCCATCAAACGAACTTTGGATGTTCATTCTTGAAAGGAGCCAGCTCTAGCCAGAGAGATGGCAGCTGAGGACAGACAGTGGCTTTTGCATTTCACAGCACTACTCTGATTTCAACTTTGCTTAGCACTGGTTTGGAGATAGATGGATGCTAACGATGGCAACTTGCCTTTCATGAGGTCTGCTTGAACGTTTCATTTGCAGGTTCGGGGGGCTGAACACGAAAAGTGGATCGGGGCCCATTTGGCTTCAAAGCTTGAAACAGGAGTCAGCATATATGTCTGCTTGATTCTGCTTGTCTGTGGTTCAGAGTTGATGGCTTCTTGATTGAGCTTGCCAAACTTTCAACAGATTCACTGCGTTTGAAACTTAATCGGAACGGATGGGTGCTGGTCTAAGGAGCCAACGACCAATTCAGCTTCAGATCCAGGAAGCGCCGTGGTTTGGTCTTGCACTTTCGGGTTTTAGTAGAAAGACATGATTCCCAAAGAAAGATGTTTACGGAACCCCTTCACATGTCTCTGACTTTGCTGATCTGTTATGGAAGACTGGGTTTGCTCAAAGGAGATATCACGCATTGTCAAACGAGCTTTGCTTTCCATTCTTGAAATGAGCCACCTCCATCAAACGAACTTTGGATGTTCATTCTTGAAAGGAGCCAGCTCTAGCCAGAGAGATGGCAGCTGAGGACAGACAGTGGCTTTTGCATTTCACAGCAATACTCTGATTTCAACTTTGCTTAACACTGATTTGGAGAAAAATGGATGGTGATGATGGCAACTTTTCTTTCATGAGGTCTGCTTGAACGTTTCATTTGCAGGTTCGGGGGTCTGAAGAGAAACATTTTAATTTGAAGCCATCTGTAGGAACATGGTGGGCATCTTAGAGTTTTATCCCATTTGGAATTACTTTCCTCAGGGCTCAGTTGACTGCAAACCTTATTTTAGCGGATCCATTCACATATCTATGCCACTGTTGAATTGTCATGGCCATTGGCCAATCGGTGCAAGCTGGAAGACTGGCTTTGTTTGGAGATCTCAAATCTTCGAAGCCTCCTGTGGCTATTCCCATGAGGAGAGACCTCTTTGTGAACCATGGCAGCTCACCTTTCACAAGGTTTGTTTGCACATATTGGCTGTGATGGTCGCGGGACCACTCCTTCTGGGAGGGATTTGATGGAATTTGGTGACCGATCGGCTCGTGCAATTCAACACGCAAACACAGAGACGCACTCGATGCGGCATGAAGCTGATGATGGAGCTGGCGTGGCCAGGACGACAACGATGAAAGGTACTTTTCATCCTTGTCGTCTTGGCCAGTGATGGGGAAGTGAAGCCAGAGAAGCAGAAAGAGGATATCACAGGGGTATGTAGGAAATGAGGTCTTCAGCCCAGAATAGCTCCGGTGTGCACGGGTGCAGGCGCTGGGTCGGGTTCAACAGGGTTCCGGAGAAGGTTCCGGAGAAGGTTCCAGGAAGCCTTGGGTGCAAAGCCAAGTCAAGTTCAACGGTTCCGAAGAAGGTTGCAGAAGCCAAGCCAGGTCAGGTTCATTTAACTCCCGGAATTTCTAGCGGAGGTGTTTCCAGCGCTTGGCTTCGCAGCGCGTTTCAGAAAGATTTATAAAAATAGAATGCCGCGGCTGTTGGGGATATCACTCAAACTATTTTTTACTGAAGACGAACGCGAGTGTTCTTACACTTACACGGTCATGTTGACATGTTGCAACTGCCACAAACAAGGAAAAGGAGGGTCATTTTCTTTGACCCTCCGCATCGAAGACATAAGCAAAACCTTCTTGGATCAAACTTACAGTCATCCTGATTTCCTGAGTTCGGAATGATCATGGAATGATCTGGTTCCCTGAAGTCAGCATGTTTCAGTTTCAGTACGATGATGAAATGCGCTGCTCCTGTAGCTGCAGTGAATTGGTCACGTGTGTCCGGGATCCCGGTAAACTCTTACAAAATACGTGGGGGCGCAATTCCAGCGAGAAGTGGATACATACCCATTGGAGTTACCCAACTTCATACTGATATGACCTATTGCATCCTATCACCTTGGCTACACCAATGAGTAAGCCCAACTGCACGCCCACATATGTACCCAATTGATCCTAATTAGATATTTGAATGGTTCTGATGCCAGCTTCGCCACTCCAGGAGGAACGGTGGCATGATGATGGGTGGATCCCATACAGCACGATGTTGCGAGAAACGGTGGTGTCTTGTCTCGGGGGGCCTAAAAACAGGCTGCCTCCAAAATTGCAGGATTTATCATCCTGAACCATTGGACTTGGTGCCCAATTGAAAGCTATTTTAAAACCTACCACCCTTGGGTGGCTCAAAATTAAGGTAGCATAGCAATGCCGTCAATGGAGCTACAACATGAGTCATTTCTTCTCGGGGGGTGGGTGGCCCACCCCCCCCCCCCACCCAGAACCCCCCCCCCCCCCCCCCCCCCCCCCCCCCCCCCACACCCCCCCACCACCCCCCCCCACCCACCCCCCCCCCCCCCCCCCCCCCCCCCCCCCCCCCCCACCCCCCACCACCCCCGCACCCCCCCCCCCACCCCCCCCACCCCCCACACCCCCCCCCCCACACCCCCCCCCACCCCCCACCACACACGGGGGGGGGTGGGGGGGTGGTGTCAAACGTACCGAGTTATACGATAAGAAACATCATTCTTATCCATTTTTCCCTTTTTGTCTGGAAAAGCAGAGACCAGATTTGTACGGTGAACACCTGTCAGCCAAGACCCTCCCGGTGTTCATTTGAGGTGGTGTCATCCGTGTCCGGCAAATTTGGTGACCCTTACAGCACACAAGTTCCTTCATCTTCCGTTTTCGAAGGAAGTCTCGCAGGAACCTTTTACTATAGGGCGCCGTGCTCTTTTTTTGAGCTATGTCCATTTTTCGTGGCAGGCGTGGCATTTCGGGACATTTTGAAGTCTGAAACGTTGTCTTCCGTGACAGGTGCAGGACATCGGACACGTTTTCATTCGTGTGGCAGGCATGGTGCTTTCTGCATGTTGCTAAAACGTTGCGTGGGTAAAGATGAGAGGTGCTTTTGAAGGCCATGTTTCATGGCAGGCGCAATATACCTGGTGAACTTGGACGACATTGTGAAAGGATCGAAATCGCGTTTTGTGAAACTGTCGTCGAATATGATGATTCCGTGTGGCAAGCGCAGCACTCCTTGCGTTCATTTTTCGTGGCAGGCGCAGTACTTTGTAGACCCCGACAAAAAATGGCTGAGACCCAGGTAAAACGTCGTTTTTGACTTTTTCAATGTTATGTTTTTGTTGTGCGCGCAGTGTCTTGTAAAGATCATAACATGTGCTCGCGCAACCCTCTTGTCACTTTGTGCGCGTCGGATCGCTCTCGTTGTGGCACGGTTTTGACATGGCTCGCAGCCTGCTCGTCACTTTGGGCCTGTCAGATGGATCTCCTTGTGTCGCGGTGCTCATTTTGAAATCGCTCGCGCAACTCCTCGTCACTTTGGGAAATAACCTCACAGGTGGGGATCGGGAAAGCTGGGGATTGCTAGGTGATAGCCCTAAGGGGAGCAGATGTGAAAGGGAAGGACGGACTATGGCATTGCTGGAGAGATGTTGGTTGCCATTTGTGTTTGTATATTATGTCTCTGTTTTGATGTGTATTGTGAATTGTTTGCGCATGGTCCATGTCAAAATGTTCAAGGGACAGACCTCCAAGCCATGCCCAGGCGAGAGGGTCGAGGTCGCCAGCTTGAGGAAATCGCTTCCGCAGTACTGTTTTATTTTGTGCGTAACCTGCACCGTGCGCCTCGCGCAGCCCTCGCGCAGCAGACGGTGCAGGTTACGCACATAATCAAACAGTACTGCGGAAGCGATTTCCTCAAGCTGGCGAGCGGAGGGTATGTCTTCACGAAGAGCCGTGGCTTGGATCGAACGTAGGTTGGAGATATCTGGCGAGATATTGGGGACCTCAAAGCAGCAGATTCTTGTTGCTTTTGTTTTCAGCAACCCAATCTCATTTCAGACATTTGGCAATTTCTGAAGCTCGATACGTGCTGGTAGATGTTGCTCGTTGCCAGGTGTTTATATAGCTACGTATATTATAGCTAATATAGCTATATCTTGTGAGTGACCGCACAGACAGTTGTATATAGGGCAAACATTGACAGGTACGAAGTTCAAACACACACGGAGACCACAGAATTCAGCCCTGTCATCACATGTGCCGAAGGAATAGGGAAAAGCCGAACGTCGTAAAAGATTTGCAGAACCCTCCGTATGGAGTGAAGTGTTCCAGATCATGGATGTTCCAGCACTTTGTCCATGACAGAATTTGAGAGGCTCCGGGATCCGTCTCTTCGAGAGAGTTGAAGAATCCAAGCTGCAGATGGACTCTCTTGGATCCTTGTAGGTTTTCTTGGGGATGGCTCAAATCTCAAGCTTTTACATACAGATAGTCAGATAAACTATTTTGATGGATGCTATAGATCGATACACCCTAAATTGAAGTGTTTGATTTGATACAATGGGTCACCGTGTGGTCTTGGTCAAGTCAAAGTGCCAAAATCCGAGCCCAAAGCATGTTAAATTCGCTCAACAAATCGCCCCAGGAGTCAGCGGAGTCAACGGCACGATACCACAATTGGCACAACCAAAGCGGCACTTGGAAGGGGCGTCAGTTTCTTGATTGCAGATGTGATAAAAAAACAGGTGATGAATGATGAATCCAATACTGTATTGGAATACGTTGGAATGATCCGCAGGTAAAACCAGGAGCCAGGTAGTATGACCCCCTACAATATCAGCAGGCTCTTAATGCGATAGCTCACATCAACCTGGGACATCCAACGATCGGAGCAGGGAGCATTGAATCATCGACTGGATTGAAATGATTTCCAGGTTTCTTGGAAAGGTACGATGTGCTGCCACGAAAAAGTGTGAGGGGAGCATGGCACCATCGATGTTTGACCCTACACTGCTGCAGTTCAGCATTTGAAACATGGGCCACTTGGTAATCACCTTAGGAGGCGTAAACATGCGTAAACCAAATTGTAGAAATTCAAGGACGTTCAATGAAGTTCAAGTGTTCTATATGTTCTGCTAGCCCTAAGGGCTTTTCGGTGTGCGATCAGCCGTATTGATTTCCTGAGGTGGCAGTGGCAGGACAAAAAAGAAGAGAAGTGGAGCGAGCATCGATCCCGGGCAACAGGTTCGAACCGGGACTGGCGGGAGCCTCAGATCGTGGAACTTCAGAAAGGTATTCGACAAGCAATGCAAGGCAGAGATGCAAGGCAATACAAGGCACGCTGTCACCAGATGCGAAACGCGAACGCATCGTTCTTTGCGACAGTTTGGCTGCATACTCTTTCACGGTTGGTTGTCATTGAATCTGAACCGCGTAAGCTAATGGGGTCTTCACCCCAGAAAAGCTCCGGTGTGCACTGGTGCAGGCGCCGGGTCAGGTTAAACGAGGCTCCGAAGTTTCCGGAGAAGGTCTGGGAGGCCTCCGGTGCAGAGCCCCGTCAGGTTCAGGGTTCCGGAGAAGGTTCCGGAGAAGGTTCCAGGAAGCCTTGCATGGTGCAAAGCCAAGTCAGGTTCAACAGGGTTCCGGAGAAAGTTCTCAGAGAAGGTTCCGCAGAAGGTCGGGGAGGCTTTGTTGCAGAGCCAGGCCAGGTCAGGTTCAACAGGGTTCCGTAGAAGGTTCGGGGAAGCTTGGTGCGGAGCCAGGTCAGGTTCAACAGGGTTCCTTAAGAAGGTCCCAGAGAAGGTCTGGAAGGCTTTGGTGCAGAGCCGGAGAAAGTCTAGGAGGCTTTGGTCCAAAGCCAGGTCGAGAAGGTTCCGGAGAAGGTGTGGCAGGCTTTAGTTCAGAGCCAGGTCAGGCTCAACCCGGAGAAGGTTCCCGAGAAGGTTCCATTGGTGCAGAGCCAGGTCAGGTTCAACCGGGTTTCGGAGAAAGTTCCGAGAAGGTTCCGAGAAAGTCCGGGAAGCTTCAGTGCAGAGCCAGGTTTGGTTCAACAGGGTTCCGGAGAAGGTTCCGGAGAAGCTCTGGGAGGCTTTGGTGCAAAGCCAGGTGAGGTTCAACAGGGTTCCGAAGAAGGTTCCGGAGAAGGTCAGGGAGGCTTTGGGCAGAGCCAGCTCAGGTTCAACAGAGTTCCGGAGAGAGTTCCGGAGAAGGTTCCGGAGAAGGTTTGGGAGTCTGGGAGGCTTTGGTGCAAAGCCAGGTCAGGTTCAACAGGGTTCCGAAGAAGGTTCTGGAGAAGGTTCCAGAAGGCTTTGGTGCAGAGCCAGGTCAGGTTCAACAGGGTTCCGGAGAAGGTTCCGGAGAAGGTTCCAGGAAGCTTTGGTGCAAAGCCAAGTCAAGTTCAACGGATTCCGGAGAAGGTTGCAGAGAAGGTTTCGGAGAAGGTTCCGGAGAAGGTTGCAGGGAAGGTTCCGGAGAAGTTCGTTTTTCCTCTTATTGTTTTCGTGCATGTGCACGCTTCAGAAAAATCTGTAAAAACAAACGTTGCGGCTGTTGGCGGTACCACCGAAGCTTATTTTTGGTTGTTTTTCATTTGCCAGGAAAGTTTCTTGAAAATGTCAGTCTGCTCCAGTCTTTGCTCCTCCACGCCTTTTTTGGCGCCTTCTCTGCGCCTCTGCGCCTGCGCTGCACTGCTGTGATACAACAAGCAGCTTCTGCAGGGCTCACCGGACCCGTACACCATCGTAAGCTCGCAGACTCTCTTGGGCTTGCCAGACATGAGCACTATGCCAGATACAATGTAAGATCAAGTGCCAGATCAAATGTCGAAACATTAAAAGATAAGGGGGGCATGGCAACATCCAGATGGTTGATCCTGCACTGCTGCAGTTCATCACCTTTCACACTGGGGCGCTTTCTTCACAATGTCGTCAGAGCTGTTAACAAGCATGGGCTGCTTAATCACCTTAGGAGGCGTAAACATGCGTAAACCAAATTGCAGAAATTGAAGGAAATTCAATGAAGTTCAAGTGTTCTATGTTCTGCTCCATCAGTCTTGCTACTTCTCATCTCTTCAATATTGATTCTTCCCAGCTAAGCCCTAAGGCCCTAAGGCCTTTTCGATGTGCGATCAGCCATATTGATTTTCTGAGGTGGCAGTGGCAGGACAAAAAAGAAGAGAAGTGGAGCGAGCATCGATCCCGGGCAACAGGTTCGAACCGGGACTGGCGGGAGCCTCACATCGTGGAACTTCAGAAAGGTATTCGACAAGCAATGCAAGGCAGAGATGCAAGGCAATACAAGGCACGCTGTCACCAGATGCGAAACGCGAACGCATGATTCTTTGCGACAGTTTGGCTGCATACTCTTTCACGGTTGGTTGTCATTGAATCTGAACTGAGAGTAGTGGCTAGAGTGTAGTTTCAACGGTGGTTTCGTTGAAGTTTGTTTTTTTCCCAACCGTGTAAGCTAATGGGGTCTTCACCCCAGAAAAGCTCCGGTGTGCACTGGTGCAGGCGCCGGGTCAGGTTCAACGAGGCTCCGAAGTTTCCGGAGAAGGTCTGGGAGGCTTCGGTGCAGAGCCCGGTCAGGTTCAGGGTTCCGGAGAAGGTTCCAGGAAGCCTTGCATGGTGCAAAGCCAAGTCAGGTTCAACAGGGTTCCGGAGAAAGTTCCCGGAGAAGGTTCCGGAGAAGGTCGGGGAGGCTTTGGTGCAGAGCCAGGTCAGGTTCAACAGGGTTCCGTAGAACGTTCGGGGAAGCTTGGTGCGGAGCCAGGTCAAGTTCAACAGGGTTCCGTAGAAGGTTCGGGGAAGCTTGGTGCGGAGCCAGGTCAAGTTCAACAGGGTTCTTTAAGAAGGTCCCAGAGAAGGTCTGGAAGACTTTGGTGCAGAGCCGGAGAAGGTCTATAGGAGGCTTTGGTCCAAAGCCAGGTCGAGAAGGTTCCGGAGAAGGTTCGGGAGAAGGTTCCGGAGAAGGTGTGGCAGGCTTTAGTGTGCAGAGCCAGGTCAGGCTCAACCCGGAGAAGGTTCCCGAGAAGGTTCCATTGGTGCAGAGCCAGGTCAGGTTCAACCGGGTTTCGGAGAAGGTTCCGAGAAGGTTCCGAGAAGGTTCCGAGAAAGTCTGGGAAGCTTGCAGAGAAGGTTCCGGAGAAGTTCGTTTTTCCTCTGTTTGTTTTCGTGCATGTGCACGCTTCAGAAAGATCTGTACAAATAGACGTTGCGGCTGTTGGCGGTACCACCGAAGCTTATTTTTTGGTTGTTTTCATTTGCCAGGAAAGTTTCTTGAAAACGTCAGTCTGCTCCAGTCTTTGCTCCTCCACGCCTTTTTTGGCGCCTTCTCTGCGCCTCTGCGCCTGCGCTGCACCGCTGTGATGCAACAAGCAGCTTCTGCGGGGCTCACCGGACCCGAACACCATCGTAAGCTCGCAGACTCTCTTGGGCTTGCCAGACATGAGCACTATGCCAGATACAATGTAAGATCAAGTGCCAGATCAAATGTCGAAACATTAAAAGATAAGGGGGGCGTGGCAACATCCAGATGGTTGATCCTGCACTGCTGCAGTTCATCACCTTTCACACTGGGGCGCTTTCTTCACAATGTCGTCAGAGCTGTTAACAAGCATGGGCTGCTTAATCACCTTAGGAGGCGTAAACATGCGCAAACCAAATTGCAGAAATTGAAGGAAATTCAATGAAGTTCAAGTGTTCTATGTTCTGCTCCATCAGTCTTGCTACTTCTCATCTCTTCAATATTGATTCTTCCCAGCTAAGCCCTAAGGCCCTAAGGCCTTTTCGATGTGCGATCAGCCGTATTGATTTTCTGAGGTGGCAGTGGCAGGACAAAAAAGAAGAGAAGTGGAGCGAGCATCGATCCCGGGCAACAGGTTCGAACCGGGACTGGCGGAAGCCTCACATCGTGGAACTTCAGAAAGGTATTCGACAAGCAATGCAAGGTGATCAATGTTCTGAGGTGGTCATCACGGAATTCATGGGCAGAACAGCGCGAATCTTGCCCAAAAAACACAATTTCCTTCGAGCCTCAGGTTGCTGAACAAGTCCGTCTCGGGGATCGGCCGATACCCAAATACCCGAACAGTTTTTCTTGGGATTAAACGTTCTTCCCATGGTGAGTTTTACACCGGTTTCTTTTTCAGACTGCTTTGCACACTTTCACAGCTGGTTGTCCGTGCAATGCCTAGGGCATATCCGGATCCCAATGATCCGAAGTATCGCATTGATTGGGATGCTTTTCTCGAAGAGTCTCAGTGCCTCAGCAGAAACCTGGCACATTTGCACCATGGTGGAACGCATGTCCCGCGATGATTCGGTGACTGTGATGAAATCACACCTTGGGTATAGTTGTACCAGTAGTACCGCACAAGGCGGTGGCGGAAGTTTCAAAGATAGAAAACAATAGAAGAGGTGAATTGTTGTGATGCATGGATGGCAGAGCGAATTCACTGATGGACCGAAAGGTGGTTGTGGTTGTGCTTTTTGAAGTGGTTGCAGTGGTCTCCTCACCCACAACTAGTTGGCTGTTGGATGTAGCATGTTGCGCAGTGTAGCTGTAGTTGAAGCTGTAGTTAAGTTGTAGTTGTAGTTGTGCTTGTAGCTGTAGTAGCCGTAGCAGCTGTAAAAGCTGTAGTAGATGTAGTAGCTGTGGTAGCTGTAGAACCTGTAGTATAGTTGTAGTAGTCCTCGTCGTCGTCATCATCATCATCGTCGTCGTCCTCGTCGTAGTTGATGTTGTTGTTGTTGTCCTAGTCGTAGTGGTAGTCGTAGTCCTAGTTGTAGTCGTAGTCGTAGTGGTAGTCGTAGTAGTAGTCCTCGTTGTCGTGGCCGTCGCCGCCGTCGCCGTCGTCGTCGTCGTCGTCGCCATAGTAGTTGCAGTCGTAGTTGTATAGTAGTCGTCGTAGTAGTCGTCGATGTCGAAGCACCCACAGCATCCTACGAGGGTATGGCCCGGAGGTTCATACCCGAGAGCGGAGTTAGCAACCCATTGGTTCCATCATCCCAGTGCCAGGGGATTTCCTTGTCATAACAACAGTGACGTCTTATGCATACTTCTATTAGGTGTTTCATTCAGGGTTTACATTCCAGGACAACCCTCAGTCCTGCCCGTAAAAGTAGAAGTAGAAGTAGTAGAAGTAGAATTAGAAGTAGTAGTAGAAGAAGGAGTAGTAGTAGTGGTGGTGATGTTTGTAGTAGTAGTCGCAGTAGTAGTAGTAGTAGTAGTAGCAGTAGTAGTAGTAGTAGCAGCAGTAGCAGCAGTAGTAGCAGTAGTAGTGGTAGTGGTAGTGGTAGTGGTAGTGGTGGTGGTGGTGGTAGTGGTAGTAGTTGTAGTTCGCCAAGTGCCACCTTGCCACTCAGAATGTCGTGACGTGATGCCATAAATGGCACGCCTGCCACGCAGAATGCACGTCGATGTCGCCAAGCTAATGGTGATGTGATGCCGTAAATGCCACACCTGCCACGCAGAATGCATGTCGATGTCGCCAGTAATTTATGATGTGATGCCGTAAATGCCACGCTTGCCACGCTTGCCACGCAGCATGCGCGTCAATGTCGCCAAGTGCCACGCCTGGCACGCAAACGGCCGCCGCGACCAAAGTGCCAAGCGCGCCACCAGTCCAGTGCCAGAAGTGCCACGCCTGCGACGCAGAATGCACGTCGATGTCGCCAAGTGCCACGCCTGCCACACAAAGTGAAAATCGATATCACCAAGTGCCACACCTGCCACGCAAAGTGATGGTTGATGTCGTCAAGTGCCACGCGTGTCACGCAAACAGCTGCGGCGACCAAAGTACCCAAGCGCGCCTCCAGAGCCAGTCCAGTGCCATAAGTGCCACGCCTGCTGCGCAGAATGCACGTCGATGTCGCCAAGTGCCACGCCTTCCACGCAAAGTGACGGTCGATGTCGCCAAGCTCACGCCTGCCACGCAAACAGCTGCCGCGACCAAGTGCCCAAGCGCGCCGCCAGTGCCAGTCCAGTGCCATATCGATGTCACCAAGTGCCACGCCTGCCACGCAGAATGCACATCGATGTGGCCAAGTGCCACGCCTGCCACAGTCGATGTCACCAAGTGCCACGCCTGGCATGCAAACAGCCGCGGCGACCAAAGTACCCAAGCGCGCCACCACTCCCAGTCCAGTGACAGAAGTGCCACGCCTGCCACGCAGAATGCACGTCGATGTCGCCAAGTGCCACGCCTGCCACGCAAAGTGACGGTCGATGTCGCCAAGTGCCACGCCTGCCACGCAAACAGCCGCGGCGACCAAAGTACCCAAGGGCGCCACCAGAGCGAGTCCAGTGCCATAAGTGCCACGCCTGCCACGCAGAATGCACGTCGATGTGGCCAAGTGCTACGCCTGGCCTCCAAACAGTCGCGGCGACCAAAGTACCCAAGTGCGCCACCAAAGCCAGTCCAGTGCCAAAAGTGCCACGCCTGCCACGCAAAGTGGAGGTCGATGTCGCCAAGTGCCACGCTTGCCACGCAAACAGCTGCAGCGCCAAAAGTGCCACGCCTGACACGCGGCAAAGTGAAGGCAGATGTCGTCAAGTTGTGTGTGAGTAAGTCGGGTGTGGACAAGTTGTGTGTGAGCAAGTTGTGTGTGGACAAGTTGTGTGTGGACAAGTTGTGTGTGTGAGCAAGTTGTGTGGTGACAAGTTGTGTGTGAGTAAGTTGTGTGTTGGCAAGTTGTGTGTGGAGAAGTTGTGTGGGAGTAAGTTGTGTGTGTGTGTGTGAGTAAGTTGTGTGGTGACAAGTTGTGTGTGGACAAGTTGTGTGTGAGAAAGTTGTGCGGTGACAAGTTGTGTGTGTGTGAGTAAGTTGTGTGGTGACAAGTTGTGTGGTGACAAATTGTGTGTGAGTAAGTTGTGTGTTGGCAAGTTGTGTGTGGAGAAGTTGTGTGGGAGTAAGTTGTGTGCGGATAAGTTGTGTGGTGACAAGTTGTGTGTCAGCAAGTTGTGTGTGTGAGTAAGTTGCGTGTGAGCAAATTGTGTGTGGACAAGTTGCGTGTGAGTAAGTTGTGCAGTGACAAGTTGTGTGTGTGTGAGTAAGTTGTGTGTGAGCAAGTTGTGTGGTGACAAGTTGTGTGTGAGTAAGTTGTGTGTTGGCAAGTTGTGTGTGGAGAAGTTGTGTTGGAGTAAGTTGTGTGCGGACAAGTTGTGTGGTGACAAGTTGTGTGTGGACAAATTGTGTGTGAGTAAGTTGTGTGTGAGCAAATTGTGTGTGGACAAGTTGTGTGTGAGTAAGTTGTGTGGTGACAAGTTGTGTGTGGACAAGTTGTGTGTGAGAAAATTGTGTGGTGACAAGTTGTGTGTGGACAAGTTGTGTGTGAGTAAGTTGTGCGGTGACAAGTTGTGTGGACAAGTTGTGTGTGAACAAGTTGTGTGGTGAGAAGTTGTGGGCGGCGGGCGGGAAGCGGGAAGCGGGCGGGCAGAGGGGAAGGTCACAACCAGAAACAAGAACCCCACACAAAGATGTGGGGAATAAAAAAAATGTAGTTGTAGTGTTTTCCATCGCCTCCCTTCTGAATCCTGGAAGCGGGGGCATTACAGAAGAGGCATTCACATTGGACCCCATATCCGATTAGTGATGTTGATAAACCTTTACAGGACGTCTATATATGTTCGACTTCTGTTACCTTTCACAAGATGTCTTCACTGCCTTTAACGAAGTTTACAATGCGAGAGACGGGAGAGTAGACTGTTGAAAAGCAAGAAAATATAGAAAATCATGGAAAATCCACATTCGTTCCCGTTGTTTCTTTGGAATTGTATGCTGATCACTGCGCGTTTTCATGGAATCACCTACTCAGGTAGCGCTGAGTGAGTACTTCCTGCGCACAGAACGCTGTCACTGCGAAATGCACAGAGCAGTCGAAAAAGTCGATTTTTCGCGTGTTTTTCCTTTCTGTTTAAGCCCTGAATGTTTGAACCTGGAATGCTGCCTTGGTTGGGTGTTTCGTAATTTTGTGGCTCAAAAACCTTTCAAGACGAACTGAAGTGGTTTACATCTTCGGATTCCAGAGCGGTGACCGTTCCCTCCATGCCTCCATGGTTCCTGCTCATGCTGACCAAACTAGATTTTCTACAATTTCTTTAGCGAATGGAATTTTCATTTAAGGAACAGGATTCCAGCCAGAAACACTGGAAACACTTGGAAACCCGCTGTATGGCTGGAATCCTATTTAACTGCTGCGCCATGCGTCACCAAGCCCGGCCCCTGGAGGTTGTGTTGAGTGGTGCCAGAGTTTGCGTGAAATGTACATTGGCTGCAAGTGCACTGTTGTGACTGTTGTGCATTTCCTGCTTCCCCAGGTCAGGAAGTCTTGCAAAAGCAAGGCATGGTTGGTGGAAGCCTCAAAATTGGCCTCTTGTGCCTTGTGAAGCTTCACAGATTTTGAATGCCAGTGATGCCAGTGATGCCAGTGATGTCACTTTCCAATCTGAGCCCCGGGTGTTTTCCCACACGTTTGTCATTCGCCTTGACCGGCATTGCATCGGCAGTTGGGACTCAGGGTGGCAAAGGCTTGGACCTTAAGGGGGCTAAGGCTGGAACTGCAAAGCTGCAACTGGCTGCAACTGGCTGCAACCATCAAAACGCCGGAACCAGTTTTCATCAGTTTTCTGTATTTTTCTTTTGCTTGTCGACTTGTTGGTGTCGGATCTCGGGCCTCGGGCATGGCGGGAAATTGGTCAATGGCAGGGCACTTGAAATTCGAAGGTTTCCAGTCTGCCGGCAGGGACAGCAGAGTCCAGTAAACTCGGACAGGCTTTGCGGAACCAATCTGCACAAGCGGAGAGGCGAAAAGACTGGGCAACTTGAAGTTGTTGATTTCATCACAGTTGGTGCAAAGTACCGAACTTGTTCAGTTCTTCAACCGTGACAGAAATGAACCGTTTTCAACCGTTGATGAGTTTGGTGTAGAGACTGGGTCCACCTTGGGAGGCATGCGCTTGAGTTGGCCTTGCTTCGAAAAGAGTTGGAGATTTGCCGCAGTGAGGCAGCTGCCCAGATCCAGGCGCCATGTTACCGTGTCCGACTTGTGACCCTGTTGCCAACTCCGTTTGGCTCAGGCACTCCGTGAAGAGCTCCGGAGTATGGGACTGGTGAAATTGGAGGCGCGAAACAGAGTTGAGCAAAAGAAATTGCGAAATTCCGTGTTCCTTGGAACCTCAGAACTAGACGACGGATGGCCCGAGAGCGTAGAGGAGCAGGGTCTTCTCTTGTTAGTATGGAGACACAATTTTAGAAACAATATATGAAAGATGTGTTATAGGCAGTCGAGAAGAGGAGTATCAAGACAAAATAGTGAGAAGTGCAAGACAATAGTTTGCATCGCAAACACTTTTACACACAGACGCTTTTACACAAAAGCTTTTAGACACAGAAGCTTTTACACACAGAAGCTTTTACACAGACGCTTTTACACACAAAGCTTTTACCCACAGAAGCTTTTACATACAGAAGCTTTTACATACAGAAGCTTTTACACACAGACGCTTTTACACAGACACTTTTACACACAGACACGTTTACACACAGACACTTTTACACACAAACCCTTTTACACACAGACACTTTTACACACAAAAGCTTTTACACACAGACACTTCTACACAGATGCACTTCTACACACAAACACTTTTACACACAAACATCTTCACACAGAAACACTCTTACACACAAACCCTTTTACACAGAGACACTTTTACACACAAAAGCTTTTACACACAAACACTTTTACACAGATGCACTTGTACACACAAACAGTTTTACACACAAACATCTTTCCACCGAAACACTCCGACACACAAACACGTTTACACACAAACACTTTTACACACAGAAGCTTTTACACACAAACACGTTTAAACAGATGCAATTTTACATACAATCACTTTTACACACAAACATCTTTACACAGAAACACTCGTACACACAAACCCGTTTACACACAAAGACTTTTACACACAGAAGGTTTTACACACAACACTTTTACACAGATGCACTTGTACACACAAACACTTTTACACACAAACGTCTTTACACAGAAACGCTCGTACACACAAACCCCTTTTCCTGCGAAAGCACACGATAAATCGCAATTTTACCTCAGTTTTTGCCGATCGACCCTCATTTCGTGCGAAAGGGTTGCTCCGGGACGAAAGTAAAATCGCAATTTTACCTCAGTTTTTGCCGATCGACCTTCATTTCGTGCGAAAGGGTTGCTCCAGCACACGAAAAATCGCAATTTTACTTCAGTTTTTGCTGATCGACCCTCATTTCGTGCGAAAGGGTTGCTCCAGGACACGAAAAATCGCAATTTTACTTCAGTTTTTGCTGATCGACCCTCATTTCGTGTGAAAGGGTTGCTCCAGGACAAGTCAAATCGCAATTTTTCCTCAGTTTTTGCCGATCGACCCTCATTTCGTGCGAAAGGGTTGCTCCGGCACAAGTAGAATCGCAATTTTACCGCAGTTTTTGACGATCGACCATCATTTCGTGCGAAAGGGTTGCTCCGGGGCAAGTAAAATCGCAATTTTTCCTCAGTTTTTGACGATCGACCATCATTTCGTGCGAAAGGGTTGCTCCGGGGCAAGTCAAATCGCAATTTTTCCTCAGTTTTTGACGATCGATCCTCATTTCGTGCGAAAGGGTTGACGTTTCGTGACTCCCCGCCGGTACCACCCCCGGCCTAAAGAGAGAAAGATAGAGAAGGCGAGAGGGAGAAAAGGGAGAGAGAAAGGAGAGAAGATGTGAAGATGAGAAGATGTGAAGATGATAAGATGTGAAGATGAGCAGGTGTAAAGATGAGCAGATGAAGATGAGCAGATGTGAAGATGAGCAGATGTGAAGATGAGCAGATGTGAAGATGAGCAGATGTGAAGATGAGAAGGTGTGAAGATGGGAAGGTGTGAAGATGAGCAGATGTGAAGATGGGAAGGTGTGAAGATGAGCAGATGTGAAGATGGGAAGGTGTGAAGATGAGAGGATGTGAAGATGAGCAGATGTGAAGATGAGAGGATGTGAAGATGAGAAGATGTGAAGATGGGAAGGTGTGAAGATGAGCAGATGTGAAGATGGGAAGGTGTGAAGATGAGCAGATGTGAAGATGAGCAGATGTGAAGATGAGCAGATGTGAAGATGAGCAGGTGTGAAGATGAGCAGATGTGAAGATGAGCAGATGTGAAGATGAGCAGATGTGAAGATGAGCAGATGTGAAGATGAGCAGATGTGAAGATGAGAAGATGTGAAGATGAGCAGATGTGAAGATGAGCAGATGTGAAGATGAGAAGATGAGATACAGACCCCCACTATTGGAAGAACCCTGCGCTCAGACGCTCTCGGGAAAAAAGGCAAGATGCCAGAAACACACTGCTTTCACGGCAGCTGTGCGACAAGCATCATACCAAGTTTGGGCCAGACCCTCTTCTGTCAGGCTTCTTCGTTGAATTCTGCAAAAATCCATCGGTCTCGCAATCTTAGGGAGCAGAAAGACATGATTCCCAAACAGACATGTTTACTGTTTACCTGAGTCAAAGACATCTTTTTGCCACTCTTGATCTGCCATGGCCGTTGACAAAACAAGACTGCAAAAATGAGTCTTCTCTCAGGCAAACTCAAACATTGTCAAAAGAACTTTGGATGTTCATTCTTGAAAGGAGCCAGAAGAAGCCATTGAGATGGCAGCAGAGGACAGACAGTTGCTTTTGCGTTTCGCAGCACTACTCTGATTTCAACTTTGCTTAACACTGATTTGGAGATAGATGGATGGTAACGATGGCAACTTGCCTTTCATGAGGTCTGCTTGGACGTTTCATTTGCAGGTTCGGGGGAATGAACACCAACCGTGGCATTTCAAGCCGTCGGTTGGAACATGGTGGGCATCTCAGAGTTTTTATCCCATTCGGATCCGTTTGGATATATTTGGATCGGGGCCCATTTGGCTTCAAAGCTTGAAACAGGAGTCAGCATATATGTCTGCTTGATTCTGCTTGTCTGTGGTTCAGAGTTGATGGCTTCTTGATGGAGCTTGCCAAACTTTCAACAGATTCACTGCGTTTGAAACTTAATCGGAACGGATGGGTGCTGGTCTAAGGATCCAGCGACCAATTCAGCTTCAGATCCAGGACGCGCCGTGGTTTGGTCTTGCACTTTCGGGTTTTAGTAGCAAGACATGATTCCCAAATAAAGATGTTTACGGAACCCCTTCACATGTCTCTGACTTTGCTGATCTGTTATGGAAGACTGGGTTTGCTCAAAGGAGATATCGCGCATTGTCAAACGAGCTTTGCTTTCCATTCTTGAAATGAGCCACCTCCATCAAACGAACTTTGGATGTTCATTCTTGAAAGGAGCCAGAAGAAGCCATTGAGATGGCAGCAGAGGACAGACAGTTGCTTTTGCGTTTCACAGCACTACTGTGATTTCAACTTTGCTTAACACTGATCTGGAGATAGATGAATGGTAACGATGGCAACTTGCCTTTCATGAGGTCTGCTTGAACGTTTCATTTGCAGGTTCGGGGGAATGAACACCAACCGTGGCATTTCAAGCCGTCGGTTGGAACATGGTGGGCATCTCAGAGTTTTTATCCCATTCGGATCCGTTTGGATATATTTGGATCGGGGCCCATTTGGCTTCAAAGCTTGAAACAGGAGTCAGCATATATGTCTGCTTGATTCTGCTTGTCTGTGGTTTAGAGTTGATGGCTTCTTGATGGAGCTTGCCAAACTTTCAACAGATTCACTGCGTTTGAAACTTAATCGGAACGGATGGGTGCTGGTCTAAGGATCCAGCGACCAATTCAGCTTCAGATCCAGGACGCGCCGTGGTTTGGTCTTGCACTTTCGGGTTTTAGTAGAAAGACATGATTCCCAAAGAAAGATGTTTACGGAACCCCTTCACATGTCTCTGACTTTGCTGATTTGTTATGGAAGACTGGGTTTGCTCAAAGGAGATATCGCGCATTGTCAAACGAGCTTTGCTTTCCATTCTTGAAATGAGCCACCTCCATCAAACGAACTTTGGATGTTCATTCTTGAAAGGAGCCAGAAGAAGCCATTGAGATGGCAGCAGAGGACAGACAGTTGCTTTTGCGTTTCGCAGCACTACTCTGATTTCAACTTTGCTTAACACTGATTTGGAGATAGATGGATGGTAACGATGGCAACTTGCCTTTCATGAGGTCTGCTTGAACGTTTCATTTGCAGGTTCGGGGGAATGAACACCAACCGTGGCATTTCAAGCCGTCGGTTGGAACATGGTGGGCATCTCAGAGTTTTTATCCCATTCGGATCCGTTTGGATATATTTGGATCGGGGCCCATTTGGCTTCAAAGCTTGAAACAGGAGTCAGCATATATGTCTGCTTGATTCTGCTTGTCTGTGGTTCAGAGTTGGTGGCTTCTTGATTGAGCTTGCCAAACTTTCAACAGATTCACTGCGTTTGAAACTTAATCGGAACGGATGGGTGCTGGTCTAAGGATCCAACGACCAATTCAGCTTCAGATCCAGGACGCGCTGTGGTTTGGTCTTGGAGTCTTGCACTTTCGGGTTTTAGTAGAAAGACATGATTCCCAAAGAAAGATGTTTACGGAACCCCTTCACATGTCTCTGACTTTGCTGATCTGTTATGGAAGACTGGGTTTGCTCAAAAGAGATATCGCGCATTGTCAAACGAGCTTTGCTTTCCATTCTTGAAATGAGCCACCTCCATCAAACGAACTTTGGATGTTCATTCTTGAAAGGAGCCAGCTCTAGCCAGAGAGATGGCAGCTGAGGACAGACAGTTGCTTTTGCGTTTCACAGCACTACTGTGATTTCAACTTTGCTTAACACTGATCTGGAGATAGATGAATGGTAACGATGGCAACTTGCCTTTCATGAGGTCTGCTTGAACGTTTCATTTGCAGGTTCGGGGGGGGGTGAAGGGCCAATATGGAATTTAAAGCCATCGGTTGGAACATGGTGGGCATCTCAGAGTTTTTATCCCATTCGGGTCCGTTTGGATATATTTGGATCGGGGCCCAGTTGGCTTCAGAGCTTGAAACAGGAGTCAGCATATATGTCTGCTTGATCTGTTATGGAAGACTGGGTTTGCTCAAAGGAGATATCACGCATTGTCAAACGAGCTTTGCTTTCCATTCTTGAGATGAGCCACCTCCATCAAACGAACTTTGGATGTTCATTCTTGAAAGGAGCCAGAAGAAGCCATTGAGATGGCAGCAGAGGACAGACAGTGGCTTTTGCGTTTCACAGCAATACTCTGATTTCAACTTTGCTTAACACTGATTTGGAGATTCATGGATGGTGATGATGGCAACTTTTTTTTTCATGAGGTCTGCTTCATTTGCAGGTTCGGGGGTCTGAAGAGAAACATTTTAATTGAAGCCATCTGTAGGAACATGGTGGGCATCTTAGAGTTTTATCCCATTTGGAATTATTTTCCTCAGGGCTCAGTTGACTGCAAACCTCATTTTTAGCGGATCCATTCACATATCTATGCCACTGTTGAATTGTCATGGCCATCGGCTAATCGGTACAAGCTGGAAGACTGGCTTTGTTTGGAGATCTCAAATCTTCGAAGCCTCCTGTGGCTATTCCCATGGCTGAGGAGAGACCTCTTTGTGAACCATGGCAGCTCACCTTTCATAAGGCTTGTTTGCACATATTGGCTGTGATGGTCGCGGGACCACTCCTTCTGGGAGGAATTTGATGGAATTTGGTGACCGATCGGCTCGTGCAATTCAACACGCAAACACAGAGACGCACTCGATGCGGCATGAAGCTGATGATGGAGCTGGTGTGGCCAGGACGACAAAGATGAAAGGTACTTTTCATCCTTGTCGTCTTGGCCAGTGATGGGGAAGTGAAGCCAGAGAAGCAGAAAGAGGATATCACAGGGGTCTGTAGGATGTGACGATTTTTCCCCAACAGCGTAAGCTAATGGGGTCTTCAGCCCAGAATAGCTCCGGTGTGCACGGGTGCAGGCGCTGGGTCGGGTTCAACAGGGTTCCGGAGAAGGTTCCGGAGAAGGTTCCAGGAAGCCTTGGGTGCAAAGCCAAGTCAAGTTCAACGGTTCCGAAGAAGGTTGCAGAAGCCAAGCCAGGTCAGGTTCATTTTACCCCCGGAATTTCTAGCGGAGGTGTTTCCAGCCCTTGGCTTCGCAGCGCGTTTCAGAAAGATTTGTAAAAAATAAAATGCCGCGGCTGTTGGGGATATCACTCAAACTATTTTTTACTGAAGACGAACTTACACGGTCATGTTGACATGTTGCAACTGCCACAAACAAGGGAAAGGAGGGTCATTTTCTTTGACCCTCCGCATCGAAGACATAAGCAAAACCTTCTTGGATCAAACTTACAGTCAGCCTGATTTCCTGAGTTCGGAATGATCATGGAATGATCTGGTTCCCTGAAGTCAGCATGTTTCAGTTTCAGTACGATGATGAAATGCGCTGCTCCTGTAGCTGCAGTGAATTGGTCACGTGTGTCCGGGATCCCGGTAAACTCTTACAAAATACGTGGGGGCGCAATTCCAGCGAGAAGTGGATACATACCCATTGGAGTTACCCAACTTCATACTGATATGACCTATTGCATCCTATCACCTTGGCTACACCAATGAGTAAGCCCAACTGCACGCCCACATATGTACCCAATTGATCCTAATTAGATATTTGAATGGTTCTGATGCCAGCTTCGCCACTCCAGGAGGAACGGTGGCATGATGATGGGTGGATCCCATACAGCACGATGTTGCGAGAAACGGTGGTGTCTTGTCTCGGGGGGCCTAAAAACAGGCTGCCTCCAAAATTGCAGGATTTATCATCCTGAACCATTGGACTTGGTGCCCAATTGAAAGCTATTTTAAAACCTACCACCCTTGGGTGGCTCAAAATTAAGGTAGCATAGCAATGCCGTCAATGGAGCTACAACATGAGTCATTTCTCGTCAAACGTACCGATTTACGATAAGAACCTCATTCTTATCATTTTCCCTTTTTGTCTGGGAAAAGCGGAGACCAAGATTTGCACGGTGAACACCTGTCAGCAGACTCGCATTTTCTCTTGTTTTTTCCCCCAAACAGTGTGGCCACACTGAGGGGTTCTTGTGGTAGGTGTTGAGGCCCGGTGTTCATTTGAGGTGGTGTCATCCGTGTCCGGCAAATTTGGTGACCCTTACAGCACACAAGTTCCTTCATCTTCCGTTTTCGAAGGAAGTCTCGCAGGAACCTTTTACTAGGGCGCCGTGCTCGTTTTTTGAGCTATGTCCATTTTTCGTGGCAGGCGTGGCATTTCGGGACATTTTGAAGTCTGAAACGTTGTCTTCCGTGACAGGTGCAGGACATCGGACACGTTTTCATTCGTGTGGCAGGCATGGTGCTTTCTGCATGTTGCTAAAACGTTGCGTGGGTAAAGATGAGAGGTGCTTTTGAAGGCCATGTTTCATGGCAGGCGCAATACTTGGTGAACTTGGACGACATTGTGGAAGGATCGAAATCGCATTTTGTGAAACTGTCGTCGAATATGATGATTCCGTGTGGCAAGCGCAGCACTCCTTGCGTTCATTTTTCGTGGCAGGCGCAGTACTTTGTAGACCCCGACAAAAAATGGCTGAGACCCAGGTAAAACGTCGTTTTTGACTTTTTCAATGTTATGTTTTTGTTGTGCGCGCAGTGTCTTGTAAAGATCATAACATGTGCTCGCGCAACCCTCTTGTCACTTTGTGCGCGTCGGATCGCTCTCGTTGTGGCACGGTTTTGACATGGCTCGCAGCCTGCTCGTCACTTTGGGCCTGTCAGATGGATCTCCTTGTGTCGCGGTGCTCATTTTGAAATCGCTCGCGCAACTCCTCGTCACTTTGGGTTTGTCTCAATACTAGGTACCCCCAAATCCGACGGTTTGTGGGTGTTTGTTGCTATATTTGCGTTTCAATTGACCGTTCTTGAGGTGCCCAATTTCAAGACAAATTGGTGATGACCCAACCTCAAGAACGGATCCTGGTGTCAGGTAACAGAAGAGGAGAAGCAGTGGCGGGCTTTACAGTCCTTTGAAGTCCGCCAGTTCCCGGAGTATCCGAGGAATAACCTCACAGGTGGGGATCGGGAAAGCTGGGGATTGCTAGATAGCCCTAAGGGGAGCAGATGTGAAAGGGAAGGACGGACTATGGCATTGCTGGAGAGATGTTGGTTGCCATTTGTGTTTGTATATTATGTCTCTGTTTTGATGTGTATTGTGAATTGTTTGCACGTGGTCCATGTCAAAATGTTCAAGGGACGGACCTCCAAGCCATGCCCAGGCGAGAGGGTCGAGGCGCAGCAGACGGTGCAGATTACGCACAAAATAAAACAGTACGAGAGCGATTTCCTCAAGCTGGCGAGCGGAGGGTATGTCTTCACGAAGAGCCGTGGCTTGGATCGAACGTAGGTTGGAGATATCTGGCGAGATATTGGGGACCTCAAAGCAGCAGATTCTTGTTGCTTTTGTTTTCAGCAACCCAATCTCATTTCAGACATTTGGCAATTTCTGAAGCTCGATACGTGCTGGTAGATGTTGCTCGTTGCCAGGTGTTTATATAGCTACGTATATTATAGCTAATATAGCTATATCTTGTGAGTGACCGCACAGACAGTTGTATATAGGGCAAACATTGACAGGTACGAAGTTCAAACACACACGGAGACCACAGAATTCAGCCCTGTCATCACATGTGCCGAAGGAATAGGGAAAAGCCGAACGTCGTAAAAGATTTGCAGAACCCTCCGTATGGAGTGAAGTGTTCCAGATCATGGATGTTCCAGCACTTTGTCCATGACAGAATTTGAGAGGCTCCGGGATCCGTCTCTTCGAGAGAGTTGAAGAATCCAAGCTGCAGATGGACTCTCTTGGATCCTTGTAGGTTTTCTTGGGATGGCTCAAATCTCAAGCTTTTACATACAGACAGTCAGATAAACTATTTTGATGGATACTATAGATCGATACACCCTAAATTGAAGTGTTTGATTTGATACTGCGATTCATGAAGCATTCCACCAGCTGCTGTGGATTTTAAAAACTTAGAAAGTGACATGTGGTGGCATGCATGAACCATAGCATGGCCACTGCACAAGGATGACACGTGACTGCCATTGCAAAATGGCTCAAGCCAACGAAAGTTGGCTCAAGGGCGAGACGAAAAAGGTCTTGCCTAGCAGCTGCTGATTCAGCTGTTGATCCACGGGTTATGAGCCCAAGGGATCTCAGCTGACATGGAGCTTGCTGGTCGCCGTGAGTCTTCCCTTCAGCGAAGAGCTGCTGCTGCTGTTAGCGCTGTGAAAGCTGCCGGCTGCGCAGACGACCTGATGGAGGAGATGTTGGAAGAAGCTGCTGGGTCCGGAACTGGTGGGTCCGTTGGAGCTCTGACTGGTGAACCTAATACCACTGAACCTGTGAATAGTGGGGGTATGTTGGATGCTCTTGGGCCTGTAGGACCTCCGTTGTCTTTTTCCCCTGGCAAGCCGCCCATGTTAGTTGAGGGAGCTAAGGGAATGCAAAACCTCGAGGTGAAACAAAACGTTGAAAACACACCTGGTGTCAAAAGGGTCGTTGTGACAGAGCAACAAACTGGGAACCCACCAAATGAGGGGCATAGAACTACCACCGAACCAGTGCAGGGGATTGTGAATGAACATAGTCCTAGAAATGGTGCTGGTAAGGGAAAGGGGTCTGGCTCTGAGTCTGGTAGGAAAAATGTTGCCGCAGAAGCACAACACTCAAACCGGGATGTGCAGAGCTCACGTGTGAGGGGTTCTGAGGGTGTTGAAAATGTGTCGCAGGACTCACGAATGAGGGGTTCTGTTTGTGAAAATGTGTCGCAGGACTCACGAATGAGGGGTTCTGTTTGTGAAATTGTGTCCCAAGACTCACGCATGAGGGGTTTTGGTCGTGAAAATGTGTCTCAGGGCTCACATGTGAGGGGTTCTGAGGGTTGTGAAAATGTGTCTCAGGGCTCACATGTGAGGGGTTCTGAGAGTTGTGAAAATGTGTCACCGGGTCCCACTGGAAAGGGTTCGGGTGTTGTGAGTGAAGCCATGCCTCAGGGCTCCAATGTGAAGGGTTCAGGGGTTCAAAGGTTTTACATAGGTGATGGGCCTCAGGGCTCCGGAGCCGTTGTTGTGGCGCCTCAGGGCACCGAAAATGTTGTTGTGGTTCCAGACCAAATGGGGAGTGTTGTGAATCCCTTCTGGAGCGAAACTCAGCAGCGTGAAGCTGTTCGAGAAGCATTCGGGCCTGGGTACGATGTGAGTGCCTTGGGTTTGCAGCCGGGTTCAAATGCGTCGACACCCCAAAAAGTTCATGTGGGACAAAGGGAAAGTGTTGATGTTGAAATGGATCCAATTGAACTGTTCCGATTGCGTTGTTTGAGAGATGCTGAAGAAAAGTTTCGGCAGGGTTTGTTGAATATGGGGATAAGTGCTAAGGAGTCAAGGGTTGAAAAACATGAGAATGAAAAAGGGTCGCATGTTTCCCAAAGTTCATATGTTTCGGCAGTGGATTTCCAGGAACATGTTGCCCCCAAATCTCATGATGTGGTTGAATCCCAATTGGTTCATGATCCAAATGTGAGGGTTGTACCTGAAAAGGCTGTGACGTTCACGAGGGTTGCACCTGAAGTTGTTGTGCCAACTGTGTCAAATGTTGTTGAACCATTTGTGCCTAGGCCACCACCTGGACCTCCACCACCATCGCCGCCAAGAATGTTGAATAGTGTATGTGGGTTAGGGTCGGTAACACCTCAAATGCCACCTGCACTGCCGCCTTTTCCTGCGTCTGTGGCAGGAACCTTGCAAAACTCAGGTGGTGAAAATCCATCTGAAAATCTTAGGACGGTGGAGCTTCCGAAGTTGTCAATGGATGCCACTGCTCTACAATTTGGTGATTGGCTCAGCATCATCGATTCTCTCATGGGTGACTTGTCTTACTCGTCGGGGGATTGGTGGACCATGGTCAGGGGAGCTGTTGATCAATGTTACAGGGATTGGTTGAATGTTGGACCAATTGAAAGGCTTAGGCTTCGTCCACAAGTGGATCCTAGGGTTCAGTTGTGGCCTCGAACGGAAAGAAGGGCCTTAGCTATGCTTTTGGGAGCCATTCCTGACCCCATCAAAGAAGAAGTGATTTCAGCTCGCAAACTGACCACTGACCAAGTGTTGTACAAGTTGTGCATCACCTTCCAACCGGGAGGTGCCACTGAACGCACAAAGTTGTTGCAGAACCTTACGGATTCCAAATGTGGTTCCAATGTTCATGAAGTTTTGGACTGGATTCGAACCTGGCGACGGTTTGTTCAAAGGGCCAGGGAACTCCATGTCACGTTGCCTGATGGTTTGGTTTTGTTAGGGGCTTTGAACAAATGTACTGATGTTTTGAGTGGAAAATCCCCACAAGTGGCATATCGTCTCAACATGATCCGCCAGCAGTTGAATGTGGATCAGTTGCCAACAGCAGAGACGATCTTGAGCTACTCCGAGCATCTGCAAGCTGAAGCTGAAGAGCTGACCTTGAGCACGCCTGCGAAGGCAACTTCGGCTGTGAGGGCTGCTGCTTTGGGTGTGCCACCGCCTCCTGGGATCCCTCAAAATCCTCAAAGTTCCCAAAACCCCCAAAATGAATCGGATCAAAGGTTTCCGAACTCAAAAAGAAGGCCTTGTAGGTATTGGATGAGTGAAAAGGGGTGTCAAAGGGGTGATCAATGTTCTTTCGGTCATGCCAATTTGGATCCCCACAGTAATCGATGTTTCAATTGTTCTGCTGTTGGTCATTCCCGACGTGATTGTCCTTTGAAGAATGCAGGGTCTGACTCAAAACCTGATCCCACCAAAAAAAGGGTTGCCAAAGTGTCAAAACCAAGTGGAAAAGGGACCCCCGAAAAGTCTGGGAAGGGTATTGGGGAACATAGTAGCCCTGAAAAAACTACTGGGGATGTTGCTGCAGCAGAGAAGTCACTTGGATCTGAAACTGCGTACAGGACTGGGCCGGAAACTGGGGACGGGGGAGAAAGTACTCCTGAAAGGGTCACTGGGCTGTTGAGTGAAGCCGCTACTCTCCTGAAAACCCTCAAACCGTTTGCCAAGGCTGTCAAAATCAAAAGGGTGAATGCTCCTGATGGACCCGCAGGTCTTTTGGATGGTGGGGCAACAAACGCTTTGAGAAGGGGAACCCCAAAAGAACTGGCGGAAGCTGATCCTGTTGTTGTGGAGTTAGCACATGGGTCGGTTGAACTGAAACAACATGCTTTGACGGGGACCATTCTCACTGAACATGCGGTTGAACCCATTGTGCCATTAAGGGGACTAATCGACCTTGGTTTTGTCATCAAATGGAGTACCCATGGTTGTGAAATCAAACACCCCTCAAGAGGAACCATTCAGTGTTGGTTGCGAAATGGGTGTCCTGTTGTGTCTGAAAAACATGCGTTGGGGTTGATTCATGACATTGAGTCTTTGGAGTTAGCCAAAAGAATCCCTTCTGAAAGTCCTGAAACCGTGTCTGAGACTGCGCATGAATGGTGGTCACAAAGGTTTCCGAATGTTCCCAAAAGAATTTGGAGATACATGAAGGGTCAAGGGGTTGACACTCCAGGGGTTCACTTGCCTTGGAATCGTGCCCAAAGGCGTCGACATGCCCAAGCTAAGGCGATTGTCATCCACTTGTATGCCGGTGAAGCATCTAAGGATTGGAGTCTTGGTTGGCCTGCTGACGTTGAAATGATCACCTTGGACGTTCGAGATGGTCAGAATGTCCACGATGCTGCAACTTGGGCCTACCTTTGGCGACTTGCTGCATCTGGTCGTGTCGTAGCTGTGTTGGGGGGACCACCATGTCGTACTGTGAGTAGATTGTTGGAAAAAACACCAGGACCACCAAGGTTGCGTTCAAGAAATGGTCCTGAAAGGTTTGGGTTTGAACACCTCAATGAATCCCAACAACAAAAAACGGACAGTGACACTGCGCTGTACTTGAAACAGTTGGGGTTGTACATGCATGCTCACGAGTCATGGGATGGTTCGAGATGGCCCCACATGAAACATGTTGCGAATCGGGTTGGATTTATGTTGGAATCCCCTCAAGACCCCAAAACTTACCTCCAAAATGGTGAAGGGGATGAGTCTGCGAGTTTTTGGGCTTGGGATGAAACAAGGGATTTTCTTGAAGCTTTCCAACCAAATGGAATGGAGTTGATCAGTTTTGACCAGGGTGCGTTTGGGCATATTCGGAAAAAACCCACAACATGTATGACCAACCTCCCTGACATGAAAGAACTAGATGGCTGTCGCTCTGGTGAACGTGAACGACACTTGGCGGTGAACTTGGATGAAAGGTTGAACCAAACTGCCTCTTGGTCACTTTGGGCACCAGGGTTGAGGGCTGCCATCAAAACGTCTTTGTTGGTTTTGGTTGAATGGTATGGGATCTCACCACCAAAATTGTCCAAAAGTTTGGGGTTGGATCAATGGAAACAACATATCACCCAAGGACATCAACCATACCGACGGGATTGTAGGACATGTATACTCAACATGGCTGGGTCAAAACCACACCGACGTAGGGAACATGCTGGGAGTTCTGCTTGGACCATGTCTGTTGATTTGGTGAACCTTCCCAAAGCACGTGACCTTGCTACCAAAAAAGTTGTGAGATATGGTTTGGTTGCCACAGCCCTTGTTCCGGTGTTTGACTCTCCTCCGGGGGACGAAACGTCAGCTGCCGAAAAGCCACTTGTTGCTGGCGATGTGTCTTCCGATGCTCCGCAACCAATGGAAACTGTGGATGCATGTTGGGGGGAGGGACTTGATGAAAAAGAATACTCCCTTCAGGGGG